CTAGGCTCTAAATAATCGAATTAGAGCCTACTTCAAAATATTCATTAGAATAGGTCGTTTTGATGCCCGAATATCATCAAAATGATCATCTCAACATCAAGATCCATGGACATGAGAAAAAAATGAATTTCAAGTTTTGGAAATAGGGCATCTTGTAATGCATTTTTCGAACGTCAATTTTTAAGATTTTCAAGTTTTCATAGATCTGATCGATCTACACTAGTTTTGAAGCATTAAATTTTATAATTAAATATGAAAATATAATTTAAGGTTATCACAAAACTTTCTGGCATTGAAACTATATTTTTCAGCACTATTTGAAGATGGGTTCAAATTTGATTGATTAGAGCCTCGGTTCTGTGCAAACCGCGCCCATATATATAAGCAATGATTTCATGCGACCATTGTCTAGCACTATGATACAACAATCTTAAAAAACTATCTTATGGTCATTTGTTTGATTGAAATTTTGACATGTACACTCTTTTCATTCTAATGAACAATCACAAAAAAAGAAAAAATTGAAAACACAATCTAGAAGTATTTTTTTAGCCCAATTAACATAGGCAGTTCATTTTAGTAAGATGCTTAGATCTAGCCCTTAGAAGGATTTTTTCATTTCCAATTTTTTTGGATAGCTTTGTTATCATTAGATAAACAATGTTAAAAAAGATAAAAATGATTTTCAGTTTATAAAGGCTAAGATCTTGAAATTTACAAAATGAATGGTCTTCATTTTTGGAGGGGACTAGTTTTGACCATATCTAGGGTTCAAATTGAACGTCTTTTTTTTTGGGAAATTGATTATTGAGATGAAGAGAGTGCGTGTGCAAAATTTAAGGTCATACAAATGCCACAAACATGATTTTTTAAAAGTGTTGTTGCATTATATCACGATACAACTGTTGCATTGGATTATTGCTCACTGGTTTACAAAACGAACATCTAAATTTAAGATTATCACTAAGACAACCATAAGTAACCATATAAAATCTTAGCATGACCTGTTTACAAAACGAACGTCTAAATTTAAGATTATAACTAAGACAACCATAAGTAACCATCTAACATCTTAATACATGCTACTTATAAATAATAATAAATTTTCAAAATGTTTTTCTTACTAAAACCATTAATATTAGGGAAAATATCTCCTTATCCCTTATTTTTAACTTTCATATCTCATGAGACCCAAAAATTGAAAATATTACTTGTAAGCAAAAAATCTATATCTTTTCTATCTTACAATCCCCTGGACCCCTTTGACCATAAAGTTTTGACCCAAACAAACACTAAAATGATACTCTATTCAAACTTCATCTCTCTCTTTTTAAAACTCCATCTCTCTCTTTGCTTCTCGGTGAGTTCACCAGCCAAGAGGTTTAGTTTGAGCTCGAACATCATCACACCTTTTATGTGAGAGAGAGAGATGAAGTTTAGAGAGAGAGAGAGAGAGATTAAGTTTGAGTTTTAGGGAGAGAGATGGAGTTTTGAGAGAGAGAGAGACAATGAGGTGAGAGAGAGAGATGGAGTTTGAGTTTTAGAGAGAGATGGAGTTTTGAGAGAGATGGAGTTATAGAGAGAGATATATAGAGTCATTTCATAAGTTGTTGAGGTGAATAATACATGGTCAAAAGGGTTTAGTGGGTTGGAAGATAGAAAAGATGGAGTCTTTTTGCTTACAAGTAACATTTTCAATTATTGAGTCCGATGAGATATAGAAGTTAAAACTATGAAATAATAGGATATTTTTTTTTAATATTATAATAAATAAATTTTAAAAACATGAAAATACAATGATTTTTGAAAATTTTAAAAAATGTAACTTCAGAGAAAAATTTACAACTACTCCTTCAAAAATTTAAAAGAAGGGAATTGTTTGTTGGAAATTTGACGATGATGAATTTCTTTAAGTAAATATAACATATTTTATTTTGAGATTTAAAATTTCAGAGTAAGAACTTTACGACAAACTCGAAAAGTGGTTATCAACTACTTTTATTAACGAAAATTTCCTGTAAAGAACAATTGGAAAAGGACAAAGAAATGGAAAAACTTTATTGAAAGGGATATCCTCACATATATTATATTTATTTAAAGTGGAAAAAGTTTATATAAGGTCTCAACCTTATACTGTACATATAAGGTGCACCTAAGAAACCCACTATTGAAGGTTGTTTTTATACTGGAAAACCATCAAATCGAACATCGCAACATCGAGATTCATAGACATGAAAAAAAAGGGGGATTTTTAGTCTTAAAAATAGCTCATCTTCTAACGCATTATTTGGACCGTCTATTTTTAAGATATTTAGATGTTCATAGCTATGTTTGATTGTCACTATTTCTTGAACTTTAAATTTCATAATTGGGGGACAACAATAGCTTTTCATATCATTGCAAGGCTTTGTGGCACCGAAACTGCATTTTTGACATAGTTTTGAGACGTACCTTACGTCAATAGTACAAGGTTAACACATTATACAAACCTCACCCATGTCCCTTTACTCGCTTTCTATCTTTTTTCTTTTTCCAAAATGCACCTGAAGGTAGGGTTGTCGAACCTAAAGCTCAGGTAGGAGTGCATGCAGTGCCAACCCACACTCTAGATTTGTCTTGGAGTTCCAGAATACGGATTGGTGTTCCAAATGACAACACTTGAGCTTCAAGTCGGGTTAAAACTTGAGAGTGCCGACTGCTCCAGAGTGCGTGTCTACATTCCAAGTGCCAACTAAACTTGAAGCTCAAGGAGGGTCAGCATATGGAGCAGCCTGCACTCTATATTTACCATAGGTTGGGTGAGAGAGCGATAGTGAAACTAAGAAGGAAAAATGAATGAATCGGGTCCCTTAAGGGTTGGACGTATGCTTTAGGTCGGATCGGCACTTGGGGTCTAGACCCACACTTTGGAGTCCTATGGCAAATCCAAAGGATCAGTTGGCACTTCCATTGCCTCCATGATCTAATTTTCAAATTGAGTCGGTACTTGGAGTACCGATTCAGGGGCATTTTGGAAAAAATTAAATAAAGACGGAAAAGTATGGATGAAAAAGGGGGACATGGGTATAAAATGTGAAATTTAAGGGGGTATATATTAAAAAAAAAATTTATGCAAGGTTGCAACCTTAAACTATTGGAGTATGGAGTAAGGTGCATCTCAAAAAATTTTAGAAGAGAGTGTTCCGACATTGAAGAAACTCCAATAATCATCT